GTCACTGATGGCCATACTGCTGCTTGCTACACAAACCTGTGCTGGCTACCTGGAAAAGCTCAGCTGGGCAGGTCTGTACTCCGTTGCAGTGCCAGCAGCACTGATGAGCCTCCAGGAGACCAAAAGTGACTGAAAAAGATCACACAGGTGAAGGTCTTGATTGAAAAAGTTCAATACAAAAAAGAGGGGGAAAAAAGAGCCAGCTTTCATAGAAAGTGACGTGTGAGCTCCATATCTTCAGTTGTGCCCCACTTACTCAGTTCACCATCTCTTCAAAGCATTTCTCACACAGAAGGGTATTTTTAACGACACTGAAAAGAACCCACCAGAAGTAGAAGCTCAAGCTCCTTTACCCTGAATAAATGGGATACAAATATCACATAAGAGGTTAAATTACACTGGGAGGATTTTTCTCCTCTTTTTAAACCACATGTGGCAAAATTTGGAAGTGATCTTTCTAACTGTAGAATCTTATTGAACTGAACAATTTAGCAAAAAATATCAAGGTTATCCATCTACCAGAATACAACGCATAAGCAGAGCCTCCTTGACCGAGGGAGTTAAGCTTTTCTGCAATAATGCAACAAATCACTCCCTGCAACAAACAGAAGACACATTCTAAGGCAGTTTTCCCACAAACTTCAATCTATGGGAAAAAAATCCTGATTTATTATATAGCATTTGGACAGTTGTGAATGAAAATTTGCCAAAGATCAGAATAATCGAGTCTTTCAGCCAAGCAGTTCTTAATGAAAGAAAAAAAGCACAGAATGGGTCTGAGCAAAATAAATAAAAAATCCACACTTTTAACCAACAGAACCTTTTGCATCATTCAGAAATATTCACAGATATCCAGAATCTTTTATCATCAAAAGGACACTCTGGCCTTTAAAATTACAACTTCTTGATTTTTGTTTACTGATGGCCTTTAAACCAGGGGGTATCACTAACATGTGGCATCTGGTCATGTCATGTTTTCAAATGAAAGAATTTTTAAGGCTGCAATTTGATAGTTTTTCCTTTCCTTCAAAATGTCTCTTTTGCAAAACTATCATCTGTGAATTTTAAGGGTAGCAGCAAACCATTTACTAACAGTATCCATTGATACTGATACCAGTGAGAACACTGATTCATTGCCATCAACGTCTGAAAGACAGGATCACAGAATGGCAGGGCTTGGAAGGGATCTGCAGAGATCAGCGAGTCCAACCCCCTGCTAAGCAGCTCCCTACAAGGTCACACAGGTATACGTGCAGATGGGTCTTGAATATCTCCGGAGAAGGAAAGTCCACAACCTCTCTGGGCAGCCTGTTCCAGTGCTCTGCTACCCTTACCATAAAGAAGTTCTTCTGCATGTTTGCTTGGAACTTCCTATGTTAAGTTTTAGACTCCGGCTCCTTCTCCTATCACTGTGCACCACCAATAAGAGCCTGGACTCATCCATTTGCCTCCCACCTCTCTTCAGACATTTATTAACATTAATCAGATCCTCCCACGGTCTTCTCCTCAGGCTGGACAGATCCTGGTCATCCAGCCTTTCCTCACACCTCCAGGCCCTTTATTGTCTTTGCGGCCCTCTGCTGGATTCCTTCTAGGAGATCCCTGTCTTTTTTGAATGAGGGAGCAGAGAACTGGACACAGTAGTGTAAATGTGGCCTCACCAGAGCAGAATAGAGTGGGAGGATCACCTCCCTTGATCTGCTGGCCACTCCTGTTTTAAAGCACCCCAGGATACCATTGGCCTTCTTGGCCACAAGGGCACACTGCTGGCTGACGGCCAAAGTGTTGTCCACCAGAACATCTGGGTCTTTCTTTGCAAAGCTCCTCTCCAGCAGGTTATCCCCTAACCTGTACCGAGTTTTCATTGATTGAAAGGACTACTAACACCAAAGTTATCCTGGAAAAGGTTACCTGCTTTCATGCAGTTTACCTTTGGAGCAGGGAGGGGGGCTGCAAGCAGTTTCATAGCATATTCACAGCAAATAGCTGAGCCTCTCTCAGAGGCCAGGCATAGCATTCGTGTGGCATCCCTCTGGAGGCCTGCCCTGCTGTGCCCCTTGCCCATTAATTAGCACACAATGGAGGCCACAGAATTTCCCTGCAAAAGGTTGTGAGCTTTGGACACGAAAGAAAGTAGAAAAGATCCTCGGCTTTACGGCATTTTCAGTAAAGATGTTTCCAGTGTTTGTTTATTTATCAAAAGTCACTGCTACTCTTGGTTGTTTTGATTTTTGTTTCTGCGCACAAGAGGGGAAAAAAGGGTTTTACTAAGCGAGCCTTTCAGTAAGACACCAGATGATGGATAGTCAAACACAGCGTCTCCTGTAAACACAGAGGGAACCAAAAGGTATGAACTGACTCATAATTGTGTCAACACAGGTCGCAGACCCTTGGTTTATTCCAGCCTTCCTGTTTTTCACAGATTTCTTTTCACACCACACTATTTTTTTTAGGACACAGGCTCTTTTCAGAACATGGGGTGCAAAAGCATGTATGTCTTTACACCAGAATACGGGCATTTACACACACACGTAGGCTCTATTCCACAATTACAACAGCAGCGTTTTCCACCCACGGCTCATGTCTGCATTCAATGAAGCAGAGCCTTTCTGCATAGCAGTTAGTTCTAGCTCTAATCAAAAAGGAGGAAAGGTCCAGGCCATCTCGTTCCCACTCCGAGCTTCCCATGGAGGCTTTTGGGAAGTATCCAGAACAAAGCCTCAGCACGCTAATCCTCTGGTTCATGTGATGTACTTCTTTCTTTTTAACATGTGGCAAAGTGGCAAGACTGTCTGACCAGCAGTGCTGTGAGGCTGACACACAGCAAAGAGTTCTATGGTGAGCAGAACCTACCAGTATTTATCTTGATCCCTAAGAACACTGAATTGAGGTTGTGTCCTTTCCCTTGCATAAAATCATTCTTCTCTGTTGGTTGCCAATTTTCCCAGAGATTGGCAAAACAAGTCTCTCTGTGGTCTCTATTTCATCATCAAATTAGGCTGGCACTGACCAGCAGACCCAGAAGTTGTCAGGGAAGGAACTGACAGCAGACACACCATGCAGCTGGATCCACTGCAGGTCATCGAGCAGTTCAGCTAGCAGGTGACTCAAGGATGGTTCAACATATTCCCTCATAGTGTCACCTGTGAAGATATCCTGTCACCTGAATTCCTGATTTCCTGCTAAAGGGCTTGCAGAAAATAGCACACAAAGGTGTGTGAAGGCCAAGAGAGTTGCTGTGCAAGATAATCTTCCCCCACACATCACCCTGAGTGTCTCAGATCAGCCACACACACGTAAATGACTCAGTGCTGTAGACCCAGAGGATCTGGCTCACCTGAGGTGAGTCAGGCTACTGTATGAACAAGGGGAAGTTTATAAACAGTATCTGTTGGTCCGAGATGCTTCGACCTTTGCCACATTGCTGACAAGAGGTAGCACCAGCAAGGATGGATAACCTGATCCAGGCTGAGCAGTGCTCACTTCTGTGTAATCTCATACAATTCCCTGGGAAAGCTGCTCAAGTAAGCCAGAGTCACAGAACGAGGATTGTGACCTGTTGTGTAAAAATCAGTTGCTGCAATTCCCAGTCAACAGGTAATCACTGCAGTGAAGCCAAATCCACCAAGAGCATCTCACAGCTCTTGATCCGCTACTTCTTCAATTCATTCATTCCTTCACTCATTCATAAATAAATAAAACAAAATACATTCAGGAAAAAGCTGCCACCAAAAATCTCAGAAGCAGCATTTCAGAAACAAAAATAATTTGCAGACTTTTTTAAAACTACTAATTTTGAACTACTGTATGTCTTTGCAAAAATTAAGACTCTTATATAGTGCAGATTTCCCTTGTAGAAATTCAGGTTAATGGGACAATGGAGAGAATTCCCCATGCAAATTCCAATAGATCAAGTTAAATTTGCTCCTTTACATTTAGGAATAATTCCAGTTTCCATAGGTCTGCAGAGAGGCTAAATGGCCACAAACTGGAAAAACCTACTCTCTTCTTGTGCTTTACTGCTTTTTCTACACCTCTTTTTAGCTCTACTGCAAAAGATGAGGGAAGTGAAATTTACTGAAAGAGACCATGAAAAGAGTTTCAAAACATTGTACATATTTTCTCTCCATAAACATGCCGTGAAATTTGAACATACACAGTGCCAGGGCACTGCCAGTCAGAACCCAGGAATTCACCCAAGTAAGACAAATTATGATGCTCACTATCTCAGCTTCTTGCCTTTCATTCATACATTGCCAGTGTCTGGATTTTACGTCAAAGTGGAGGAAAAAAGGGAATCTCAGATTGCTGAAATTAACCTCTTGCAGTGAGATCAGTAAAAGTGAGCTTTCCACTGACACTTCACAAGGAGATACCTGCTGTCTTTGTTTGGCAAGGCAGCAGTCAAATGCTGAATGTTGAAATTTGTCAGGTATGAGCAGCAGAGATGCTATGCTGTGGAAATGGCCACTACAATCTCTCTTTCCAAATATGCAGTGTTTGGTCCACATCAATAAAATAATTTTAAAAACAACAACAATGTTTTATATGTCCTATCAAGAAACTGCATAAAGACAGTATTGTGATATCAATGCAGGGTAGTACTGTTGAGCAAACCTGCCTGGCATGAGGACAGTGGTTGCTACTTCAAACATCATACCCAATATATAATTAATATTAACCCTCAACTATATCAGCAATCTCATTGCTTTCATAAATTCTCACTTCCTTTCCAATAAAGAGTTACTTATTACAAGGTAATGCAGGATGCAATGCAGGGATTCATTTCTGCCTCTGGAAGGTACCAAGTCAAAGCACATGTTCTACATGCCAGAAAATGTTGAGTTTGCATGGCAGCATCACGGAAGCTATATGCACTGTGTGATCATCTCTAAAGTGGTTCTATTTAATGAGCAACTTTAATGCAGTTCTGCTGAACCAGTTTTGACAGCACATTTTATGTATGCAACAACTTCAAGAAAAAAGGGATAGGCTCTTACCTATTGTTTTTCGGAGATCTTCACACTGGCTAATGTGAGGGAATTTCAAGATTTCCTTCCACTTTTTGCTTTTGCCTTTGCGTTTCCCTCCACCCCCTGCAAAGAAAGAAAGATTGGGATTAGATTGCTTTGGGTGCTACTCCCAGTCCAGAATTCACCAGCCCAATCATAGCTCTTATGGATATCTTTCATAACAGAAGCTGAGACATTGTGGGTAGACGGGCAGATCAAGTTGGCTTGTCTGGATGTCCCAAGCAAATGGCACCTGTGAGAAGGCTGGATTGGTAAAGGCCAGGAGTTGGTGGCTCAGCAGATCCAGTTCAGATGGTAGTGTCTGAGCTTAGCATCTCCAGCATAGTCTCTGCTTCAACTTACAACCATTTCTTTTGAGTCAAATAGCCCTGTATTTGTAAGCATATAATTATGATTCACATCTTTTCAATCTCTTTCTGGTTTCAGGATGAACCCTGACTTCACCCCAAAAGAAGGACTGGAAACTGAAGACCAACATTCAGTACTTGCGCTCATCCTTCATATTGCATATTCAGCTGATGGTGCACACAGAGTTCACTGCTACGTAAGCATTTTCCTCAGAGGGAGGACAACAGTGGGAGAAAATCAATAAAATATCCTCCATGATAATGAATCATAGAACCATAGAATCAGTCATTTGAGTCGGAAGAGGCTGTTAGTCCAAGTCCTCTGCAGTGAACAGGGACATCTACAGCTAGAATCTCCCTCATAAATGTTCCTTCATAAATACCCAACTGCAGGCACCGCCAGCAGCAAAGCGGCACGTCCCAATTTATCCGCCAAGTTATCTGCACTTGGTGCTGATCCCACATGCTGCTCACATGCATCTCATTTCCCCTTCTTGCCACTCTACTTCTTTCTCCCTTTCCTTTCCCATTGCTTTCTCTTCCTCCACACACACCTAGGTGCCGCTTTTCTGGTCTTGTGTCAATAATGCAGCAAAGACAAATGAGATTCGTCCACATGTATTTATAAAAAAAAACCTTTGAAATCTACTCTTTTGGCTTGGACCTATTTATTGCTCTTCTCAAATCGGAGCACCAGACCCTCACATTCACCTTTTCTTGAGCACATCTACCCCATTCTTTTAAAACTTTTACCATTTTCTTTCTTGTTTGAACAGTTTAGAGCCACACACAGAACCTCACTGACATGGTGTCCCAAAGGCAGTGCTGCTCTGAGGGCCTGCAAGGAGAATGTGTCCAAACTAGGTCCCAACCAGTAACGGCCACATTCCCAGCCTGTGTCACATCGACCCTTGCTGGGACTACTGGAGGATGCACTGCTGGCAGTGCCAGGCTCCTTTGGCCCTATGAGGCCTAATGGAAACCAGAATGCTGTGTGTGCTGTCTACCACCAACTTTGGGTGGACACACAGCTATAAAGCAGCTCAGTCTAAGAGAGCATTTCTAAATTATTCTTTCTTTTTTTTTTTTTTTTTTTTTTTTT